GCGTAAAGAACCGGATCAGAGACTCTGAGCTGCAGCGTAAAGAACCGGATCAGAGACTCTGAGCTGCAGCGTAAAGAACCGGATCAGAGACTCTGAGCTGAAACATATAAACGGAACGGATCAGAGACTCAGAGCTGCAGCGTGTAAACAAAACTGGATCAGAGGCTCTGAGCTGCAGCGTAAAGAACCATATCAGAGACTCGGAGCAGGAACATGTAAATGGAACCGGATCAGAGACTCAGAGCTGCAGCGTGTAAACAAAAAGCAGATCAGAGGCTCGGAGCAGGAACATGTAAACGGATCCGGATCAGAGACTCGAAGCCGAAATATGTAAATGGAACCGGATCAGAGACTCTGAGCCCAAACATGTAAACAGAACCGGATCAGAGACTCGGAGCAGGAACGTGTAAACGGATCCGGATCAGAGACTCGGAGCCGAAACATGTAAACGGAACTGGATCAGAGACTCGGAGCCAAAACGGAAACGGATCAGAGACTTTGAGCCAAAACATGCAAACGGAACCGGATCAGAGACTCGGAGCCCAAACGCGTCAACGGAACCGGATCAGAGACTCGGAGCAGAAACGTGTAAACGGAACCGGATCAGAGACTCGGAGCCCAAACGCGTCAACGGAACCGGATCAGAGACTCGGAGCAGAAACATGTAAACGGAACCGGATCAGAGACTCAGAGCAGAAACATGTAAACGGAACCGGATCAGAGACTCGGAGCCCAAACGCGTAAACGGAACCAGATCAGAGACTCGGAGCAGAAACGTGTAAACAGAACTGGATTAACATCTGGATCCNTTTATCCACCACTGCAGTGATTCCTACACATCCAACCTGCAAACTAAAGCTTCTCATCACGTTTTCAAACAGAAATAAAAACCAACTGAGATGAAATTATGTAAACAAGCTGATGATGCTGGATCCCTCTTTTTGTCGGAGAGATTCGTAGCTGATTAAATAATGCAAAAACTAATGATTACATAATTTTAAAAAATTAATTAAATAAGCTTTAATGTGGTTTCGATATTCATAAAATTAAATGTCTCATAAATCCCCTGTTGGGTTGAAACCTAGCTTATTTCCCCCCCTTTAATCCCATTAACCTGACATTTCTTTTGTTCCACCACATAGCCGGGCCCTTTGATCCTCCATATTGGATCCACCATAAGAACCGAACCTGATCCAGACTCTGAGGTCCATCTGCTGACTTACATGGAGCGGCGGCAGTAGCCGGTTCCCTGGTTTTTAAACCCTGTGGGGAGAATCGGTGTCCTCCGTGTTGATGTGGACAGACTGAGCCGACCGGAAGTTGGTGTCGCGGTGAAAGCGGCTCAAAATATAAAACCCCCACAATTCGGTCCGCCTGTGACTAAAACCAAGAATATAACCTTAATTTGGTTAAAATAAAATAAAGTTAAAATGAGCACTAAAGCATACTTTGCTTTATTTATTTCTCATTCAGTGTGAGGAGATATTTTTCGATAAAATGCTTAAATCCAGCCTTCAGGCTGAAGCCAAGCTAGAATGTTCTCAGAAGTTCTATTAAAGCCCGCCCCCCTCATCAATGCTGACCAATCAGCAAGCGGCATTGGGGGCGGGAGCGAGTTAGTTCCTGTTTTTGTGGCTCGTGCTTGTTGGGAGATTATAAAATGTGGAAGCGGCGCAGAGCGGTGAGTGCCTAGCCGTTAGCTGTTAGCTAAATGATAGAGCTAAAGCTCACCCAGTTTAGGATAAAAAAAACGTTTATTAATAGCTTAATATCGCATTTATTCTGAGTTTAAAAAACGCTTCCAGTCATGAATCCTACACATCTAAGCGTTAATGTTTTGTTGGACACTTTTTATTCGTTTCTCAGCATAGTTGTTATGTTAAAACCTGCAGAGTTGTATAAATAGATTTATTCATTTTTCTCTTCTTGTTAAACTTTGCATCGTTTAATCAAACAATTTCTGACATCAGAGGAAAAGGAAACATGTTGTATAACAGTTAGTGATGTACATCAACTGGAAAGAAGTCTGGCTGCTTCCAAATCGATATTTGATAAATAACAAAACTAAAGAAATCTCATTTAAGTTAATCCATAACATTTATCCTACCAAAGTCTTTAAACAGAAACGCTTTAAAAAAAATGATGTCACTTGCAGCTTCTGCTGTAATAATCCTGAAACATTTATTCATCTATTCTGGAACTGCCCACTTATCCAGTCCTTCTGGAACGAC